CCTTAATCTTTGACGAACGATTTCTCACTCGTTTTAAGTCGAAATTTAATTTTTTTTTGCACAGTTAGATCAGATTAATTGTGCTCATCAAAATGATATCCACTTTGATATATTTTTCGAACAAAAAAAATTGAGTCATTTTATACCAGTCTATACCATATGGTATTGACTGGTATTGAAATAAGAGCATACCTATGGTTTGAAAAGCGTACCATGGTGGTATGGCACAAACCAAGACAGTAGGATGATTGAATACATGATAATAGAAGTATATTAATTGTCATTTACGACTTTTAACATTGTATACCATAAAATACCATAAAATACCACCCCGTACCATGGTGGTATTGTATGGTATTGTGTGGTATTTTTTGGTCTTGTAATTTGTTCACCCAGAAATTTGTAGATCAAATAGATCATGATGAACTCGTCCCTGCTGTGCAAACATTTTCAAAAACGAATGAAAAACGAAGAAAATACCATATGGTATGCAATTGGTACCGAAAGGCCAGAATTTTTTTTCCTCAAAAAATATTGAAAATTGATCTCATTTTGTAGAGCACGATGAACTCGTTCCATCTGTGCAAAAAAAATTAAAATCCGAGTTAAAACGAAAAAGATATGAGTCAATTAAGAAAACTAGTGAAAATAAAAATGGTCTTTAATTCTCCATCCTTAGATCTGGATTTTCTAAAAGAAGGGTCCAGATTTGGTTATTGATGGGTGCATAACCATGGGTTATGCACCCTATCTTGAGCCTAAACTCTCCGCCATCATGGACTCCGGTTGTCGAGCGTGTGCCATCGATCCTTCCATGCAACTCTCAGCTGGAGGACTTTGTTTCTAAAGTCGTCGGAACAGTTGCGCCTCGAATCATCACCGCTGCTGGAACCTTTGCGGCGCTGCTCTGGTGCGGCGGGGAAAGAAAGATTGGGGTTTCATAGGGTTTTTTTTCATCTGGCGGAGGCGGGATTAGCTTAGGGTTTTGCTATTGATTGATTTATATAATTAATAATTAGCAAAGATGTGTAATGTGTAGAAGGCTAGTTTAGGGATTTTATAAATTATGATGAACCGGGTAGTTTAGCTTATGATCAAGGTTTAGAGAACAAGAGGCTTCTGCCATAAAGTCTTTGAGAATTAATTATGTCTACTGATTTTTAATTATAGATTACTTTTCAAAGTAATTTCTATTGCCTATACCTATATTTGAGAATTAGTATTGATTTCAGGGGCAAGTTATGGTGAATCTTCAATTTTAAACATGTAAGTATGCAAGGGTATGTAACTAGGTGGTTTTACATTGTTGAATCAATCAGTAAAATATATATTTAATTATAAACATGTTTAACCTTTTTCAACATTATTTGTCACAATGTTGCTTAAAATGCATAAATAGGCAACATAATATCATATGTGATATAAATGTTGCGTATGCTTAACCAAATGTGACATAATTCAAGCGATGATCTATTTATGTTGCATAAAGTATCTTTTAAATAACATTTTAAAAAGTATTGTGATTGCTAATTTTCAGCAACACATTGAATTAGTGTTGCAAATAAAGTGTTGGCAAAAGCCTCTTTTCCCGTAGTGTAACATACTTATAGAACATGTTTAATACATGTTTTAAGGAATTAAATTGACAATTTAACAATTTATATATTTTATATTCACGTATATTATAAATGTCTATTATTTAATAACCCATGCCAAAATCTTAAACATACTATTATGCTAAAATGACGTGTAAAAATCCAGACATGTATATCACATTTTAACAAATATCACTAGAGATTAATTATGAATCGTATACCAACTCTCCAATAGCTAGTCAAATTTTTATTTAAGGTGGGTAAAGTTATTAACTTTTACAATGATGCATGTCATGCATCTATAAGCTAAAGTAGTAAGAATGTCATCAGTACCAGTCTAAAGTTCGTTAGTACTTTACCAGTAGCTTGTGTTCTAGTTGTGGTGTACACGTGGAATTACTATATAAAGTAAAGTCTCGCTCTTTATTTCGTCAAAATTGGTTATGCAAGTGAATTTAGTTAATTTTATTAATAATAACTGTCGCCAACTTAGTAAAAACGTAATTCTACATTTTGTGTATTTCTAAAAAAGTGTCTATTATTACCTCAAATTCGATAGTTATTACTATACAAGTGTATTATTTCAGCTAAACGTATTAACTATAATTGATTTACAGAATATCTTGAGTTTCCAATACATACAAATTTTTATTTTCATATTGGATATAGTGAACAAATGGACTCATATAAAAGTTTGGCCCATACGTAAGCTTTGATTCTTTCATTCATACGGTAATGATTTGTTTTAAATAAAATTTTAGGTTTGATGAAAAAACGAATTTCTGTTTGAATAAATATTTGGTAAACGTGAATAAATCGGACTTCAAAACGACCTCCAGAATGCCCAAAAATTTGAGTTCCGAACAATCCAATTCGGAGATAAATATTCAATAATCATTAGCCATTAGCCAGGCATGGTTAACGTGAAACCCGGCAGCAATATGTAGCTAAACTCCTATGCACATCGCCGGCCGGCGTCTATCTATATGTGTACTTCTATTTTATGCGAACTAAACAAAATGGGCGCACTAATTAATGGAATAATTAAGGGGAAATTAATTAAGCTCTTGAATCTTAAAATATATTAAAGCGCTTTCACAAAAACCCCTCTGCCACGTACTCTTTCAAGCCTAGCCCGCAATTCTCGGAATTTCATATATTGTTTTAATTTTTTAATGCGCTGTAATTGATAGTGGTGGTTATCCATTTTTCCCCAATCAATTTTTTACGCGTTGTTTTCTTTTATCCTACCAAAAAAACTCTATCCCACGTAATTCATATATAAAAATAAAAGAATCCTTTTCCTTTGGATAAGGGTTTATCATTAGCAAAATATCTTAACCATAAAAAAATCAACACATTTAAAATATGTACATTTCATTTCAAATTAATTAAAATTCATATTTTTATAAGAATTTTTTATTAAATTAATTTCTTACATTTACATATTCATTTTTCAAATGTCATTACGTTTATATTCACCCATAATTCACAATGTAAATTTATAAAACAATCAATTTGACTATTTTGGGTTAGCATTAAGCCACTCATATAGAATAATTGATTATTATACATTATATATGTCTGCGACTGACTTAGTCAATGCTATAAAGTAGTTTGACTTAAGAACATGGGTTGATTATGTTACACAAAAAATATTCGCTACGTATTTATAGTTGAGATGTTTACTCACAAGTTAAACTTCCATGTGCATTTAGATTACAATAGATAGTTTTCAAATTATTTAAAATTTTATGTATATTAGAAGATAAGAAATTGGAAATTTGTAATATCCAAAATAGTTTTGACGATGTGGAAATTCATTGAAATAATAATTAGATGAAACACATCCCGGCCAATTGGCCGGGCACAATTCTAGTAATTATAGTTAGATTTGATATGTTTATGTTGCCCGATTTCCTTTAATCACTTTCCAACTTTAGCTTTATCGCTTGACTGTTCTAACTAGTCATTTGGTGCCGGTTGGTCATTTCATAGTTTAAGGTATAAACGGCGATCATGAATCAAACAAATATGGGAGCGACGACGATGGTTCCTATGCATGGACATGGTTCACGACGTTGGACCCTTTCAAAGTATATTATGATACGATGATTAGTTTAGTTAACACTCTAATAAATACATCTATAAATACAAGACCTAATCTTCACTCATTCTTCATCCAGCCGCGGTACACAACTATAATCGATCCATAGTTTTCCCCAACAAAAGACCATAAAAAATGGGCACCATCATTTGGCCTAATCACCCCTTGATCATCACGTGCATTGTGGCCGCCGCTCTACTAGTCACCGATGTCGCCGGAGATGGTCATCAACACCGTGATGAGTACAAACCTCCTGCTCCTTACTCGCACCAATCATGGCCGCCTCCTCCACATGCTTATTATAAGTCTCCCCCGCCGCCGTCTCCATACGGGTCGTGGCCGTCACCGCCTCCACCCTCCGATCAAATTTTAATAACCTTGACAATAGATTAATTATTGATCTGATATCATACTCTTTCGTGGCTAGCCAAGATTTCACTCCAGGTATTAAAAAAAATGATGAGTGGGTTCACGTAAGAACAAAAACATATAAGATGAAAGTTATTAATTTTTACAATAACTCATAACGTGATTTCGTATTTTAAAAATTTTCTTAATATATTTATAAGCTAGAATGTCATCAATACCCGTCTCAAGATCACCACAATATTAAATTTGAACAACTTATTATATAAAATAGTAGGTACATATATATCATAAATTTTATTCTAGTTTGTTAGTACTTAGTAGATAGGTAAAACAGTCTACCGTGACATATTAGATTTGAATCTCTTGACTAGTAAACAATGGGATGGGATGAGATGCTAACTGTATTAATGTTTAGCACCATAATAACTCCTTTTATCTCTATTCATTCATGTTTCCGCAAATTTAAGAGTATTTTTTATGGAGGGCTATTTTGGGTAAGAAAGCATGTGATCCCAGTCTAGGGATAAGTGGGTGCGATTTTTGAGGGGAGAAAGAAAAATCCAATAACTACTCATTTGCCAATTTCCTCTTCTTCAACCTATTTCCTCTCTCTCTTCACAATTTGACGATCAAGAGCCAATTTTTCTGATCTCTGCCCACACCTCTCTCGTCGTCGTAGCCGTCTTCAGCCTCCACCTCATGCGCTGACGTCGTCTGCAACAATCTCGCCTGCATATTCGTTCTCTGCATTGACCTTGCATGCATCGCCTTCGCCTCCGTCGCCTTCATCTGCATTATCGTCGATTGCTTCGGACTCGTCTGTGGTGCCTTCGCCTCTGATGAACGAAATAAGAGCCTTGCCAATTGATCTCATTTGGTAAGTTTTCAAGAATCAGATGGCAAAGGAAGGTTTTCTCTTAAAAGCAATCTTGGCGGAAAATCAGCAACGGCTAGCTCTCTCCAACGGCTGCCTTGGGTCTGCTATATATTCTGTGTTTTTAAGAGGTTGCTGGGCAAGTTTTGTAACTGAGAAAAGTAGAGCGGTAGAGGGCTTATCTTTTGGGTTACAAAGGGTTTCAACAGTTCAGGGGAAGAGGTTCTTAGCTGTTGAGGGTTTCACAGATCGGATTGTGATCTGTGGTGGTGGTTCATTGGTGTTTTCATTTCTTTACTCTATTTTCGTTTATCTTGCTTGATAGGGAAAATCTTAATAAAAAAGCGTCTCTCGGAAAATAGCAGGTGCTATTTCCGAGACGAGGAGTGACCAGTAGTTTGGGAACCTCGTTAAATCGCGTGTTCATCTCGTTTCTTTTCTGGTGCAATTCTTCGTTCTTTGTAGGGTTGAGTTCCTCTGCTTTCCTGGGTTTTCTGCGTTTCCTATCTGTTACAGAAGAAGAAGAGAAGCTTTTGCTCTCTCTCTCTGTCGTGGGTTTAATTTGTCTGGGCTTGTTTCAAGAAAGCCCACTTCATTTCATTTTAGTGACTTTGGGCTTACTTAGTCTTTGGCCCATTATTCCTTTTTCTCGTTGTCGAGAGTCTGAGGAAGAAGCTCCTCCTTATCTGGTCGCTTTTCCCCTTTGCAGTTCATTTCCTTGGTCAAAATCCCTAATTTCAGTTCTGACTCTTTTCTCAAGTGGTATCAGAGCCAATACTTGAAGAGGCTAACTGCTGCCAAGACTGATCCAGGCGATGGCTTCCTCAAATTTTGGCCAAGCTTCATACAACCATCCTCCCGTTTTCACCGGTTCCAACTTCACGGCATGGAAGAAGCGCATGAAGACGTTTCTGTGGGGTGTGGAGGAGGATCTCTGGCTGGTGGTTCGCGACGGTCCAATCACGATGAATGATGACGAACAAAATATGTGGTCTGCCGCCCAGAAGAAGAGCGCTCAGCTCAACCAGCGAGCGATGCACATCCTTCAGACCGCCATGGTGCCCGACGAAGCCGACAAAGTTGAGAGCTGTGAAACTGCTCGTGAAATCTGGAGGACTCTGGAAACGACATATGAAGGCTTTTCAAACATCAAGGAGACTCGTATCGATCTTCTCATGCACGAATACGAGGCTTTCGACATGATGCCAGGTGAGAGTATTCACGATATGTACTCTCGTTTCACTGTCTTAATCAATAAATTAAAGGGTTTAGGAAAGTCCTTTATTACTAAAGATCTGATTAGAAAAATCCTTAGATCGCTTCCTAGGGAATGGCTTCCCAAAAGGACAGCCATAGAAGAAGCTCGTAACCTCAATATCTTGCCTATGGATGAGCTAATCGGGTCATTACTTAGTCATGAACATGTCATTAGACAGGTTGGTCGTGACGATAAACGTAGGCAGAGAATATGAATCAGATAATGACACTGAATTTGACAGAGAATTTGCTTTGGTCAGTAAAAAGTTTCATAGAATGCTTAAGTATAAATCTGAGCAGAAACGACGAGGTGGAGAATTGAACAAACCTGGTTTTTATGATCGTAACAAACCATTCTCCCATGATAGGCTGCTTTCACAGCAGACCAAAGACTTAAGTGCAGGTACTCCTGAGAAGGAACCGCAAGGGTGCTACAAATGTGGGAAACCGGGACATATTCGTGCCAACTGTCCTCTTACCTTAAAGGCAAAGGAACGAGCTATGCTTGCTTCCTGGAGTGACTACGAGTCAAACTCCGACAATGAACAAGTCACAGAGGAGGCTTACACGGCCTTTGCCCTTAATGTTGAAGGTAATAGTTCAGCTTCTAGTTATGAATTAGCCTTTAAAACTGTTTCCTTGGATCCTTCCGTTGATTCTGATCATCAATGGTATATGGACAGCGGTTGTTCCCACCATATGACTGGTAAAAGTCACTTATTTTCCACTCTATCTCCAAAAAATGGTGGTAGGGTAACATTTGGTGACAACAGTTTTGGAAAAATTATTGGCAGTGGAACTATAGGCTCCAAACCTCAACCTATTATTCATAATGTTCTCTTGGTTGAGGGTTTGAAGCACAATTTACTGTCCATTAGTCAACTGTGTAGCAATGGCAATAAGGTGGTCTTTGAGGCTTCTCACTGCCTAGTGACGAGGTCTCAGGATAATTCCACTGTTTTTGTCGGAAATCGGTTTAATAATATGTATGTGATCAATTTCCGTGATTTGGCTAGTGAAACTTGCTTGATTGCTAATCATCAACTTGAGATGCTTTGGCATCGCAAGCTGGGGCATATAAGCTTACAAAAGTTATCCAAGCTGTCTAAGTCTGTTGTAGTTCGTGGTCTGCCCATTTTGAAGGAGCGGTCTGATTTTTTTTTTTTTTTTTGTAGTACTTGTGTGGCTGGTAAACAAACAAAGAAAAGTTTTAAACCTAAACAAGGAGTTACATCAAAATCAGTCCTTGAACTGATTCATATGGACCTGTTTGGTCCCTGTAATGTAACGAGTTTAGGAGGCAAGAATTATGCTTTTGTCCTTGTGGATGATTATTCCCGATATACCTGGGTTTACTTTCTTTCCCACAAAGATGAAACGTTCTCCAAATTTAAAACTTTTACTATGTTGTTTGAAGGGAAAATTGAAATTATCAAGAGTGATAATGGAGGGGAGTTTATCTCAGATGAATTTGAGAGCTTTTGTAACCAAACTGGAATCCTTCATACATTCTCTGCCCCACGCACTCCACAACAAAATGGAGTGGTGGAACGCAAGAATCGTACACTTATTGAATGTGCCCGCACCATGTTGCTTGAGTATGGGTTACCAAAGTATTTCTGGGCTGAGGCTGTCAGCACTGCGTGAGATGTGGGTAATCGTGTTTTAGTTCGAAATTTTTTGAACAAAACTCCCTATGAGTTATTTAAAAATAAACAGCCCAGTAAATCATATTTCCATCCTTTTGGTATCGCTGTTTTGTGCTGAACACTAAAGAGCATCTTGGCAAATTTGACGCTAAGTCAGAAGAAGCCATCTTTCTAGGATACTCTGTGAAAGGACAAGCTTATCGTATATTCAATAAGAAGTCCAAGAGAGTTGAGTAATCGGTTCATGTTCGTTTTGATGATACTAACCCCTCTCTTGACCTCGGAGAAGAGGGTGTTGTGCCTTTTGATTTTGCAGAGATGCTGTCACCCTTAAGTCCTACCCAAGAAGGTACATCAGCCATGTTGTCAGCGCCGAATCCACCTGCTATCAACCCCTCTAGCCCGGCTGATACGACAGACTTGCACTTGCATGATACGTCAGTCAATCCCAGAGCTCCAGTACATATTCAAAAAGGCACAACATAGGAAACTTGTCAGATGGTCGCGCACTCAAGGTAAGTATAATCCTGGTCAATTTGCCTATATAGCTCAGTTTGAACCTAAAAATTATAAAGAGGCATTGACTAATGAGGAATGGGGGTTATCTATGCTAGAAGAACTTGCTCAGTTTGAACATCTAAGGGTCTGGGATTTGGTCCCACGCCCGCCTAATGTGACTGTTATAGGCACAAAATGGATCTATAAGAACAAGTCAAATGAAGATGGGGATATAATTAAGAATAAATCTCGTCTAGTCGCCCAAGGATACTGTCAAGAGGAGGGCATTGACTTTGACGAAACTTTTGCCCCAGTAGCTAGACTTGAATCCATTCGCTTGCTGTTGCGTTTGCTTGTTTCTTTAACTTTCCTCTATTTCAAATGGACGTCAAGAGTGCCTTTTTAAATGGTGTGATTTCAGAAGATGTTTATGTTGCTCAACCACCGGAATTTATTGACTATAGATATCCTGATCATGTCTATAAGTTAAATAAAGCCCTCTATGGTCTTAAACAAGCTCCTCGAGCATGGTTTGAGCGTCTTACAACTTTTCTTAAAGATAATAACTTTCATCAGGGTAATGTTGACAAAACGTTATTCATTCAACATACTCAGAACGACATTCTGCTTGTTCAAATATATGTTGATGATATCGTTTTTAGATCCACTGATACTGCTTTATGCAAAGCCTTCTGTGAATCTATGACATCTGTTTTTTAGATGAGCATGATGGGTGAACTCAAGTTCTTCCTTGGATTACAGATTACACAATCTGCCAATGGCATATTCATAAACCAATCCACGTATATTCACACTATGCTTTCCAAATTCAACATGATGTCTTTAAATTCCAGCCCCACTCCTATGGCTGCAAATTTAAAGTTAGATCGAGACGAGAATGGTCTTGCGGTTGATGAAAAGCAGTATCGTGGGATGATTGAGTCATTGTTATATTTAACTGTCAGCAGACCTGATATTCAGTACTGTGTTTGTATTTGTGCTCGATTCCAATCCAACCCTAAAGAAAGTCATTTTTCTGCTGTTAAACGGATTTTCCGTTCCTTAAAAGGCACTATAGATGTAGGTCTCTGGTATCCTAAACAAGGAACATTCGACTTGGTCGGATATAGCGATTCTGACTTTGCCGGCAGTCTAACTGACCGAAAAAGCACAACAGGGACGTGTCAACTTGTTGGCACTTGTCTTGTCTCTTGGTTTTGCAAAAAACAGGGGGCTGTCGGCCTCTCCACAGCAGAGGCAGAATACATTGGTGCCGGGAGCTGTAGTACTCAATTGGTTTGGTTAAAGAGTCAGCTTGCCGATTATGGATTGGATATTTCTTGCATTCCTCATTTTGTGACAATACTAGCACTATATGCATGACAAAAAATCCTGTGCAGCATTCTCGCACAAAGCCTATCGAGATTAAATACCACTATATCCGTGATCTTGTTGCATCTAACACTCTTGCCCTGCAGCATATACCTACTGAATTTCAGCTGGCTGATCTGTTTACTAAGCCTCTACCATTAGACAGATTTACTTTTCTATGTTATGAGCTTGGTTTGAGGTCTTTACAAACCCATGATGACTGTCCCTGATTTGTCTCGTTTTCCTTGCTGTACTTTCCTGTTTTAGTTAGGTTTATTTTATTTTTTTTATTCCTAGAGTTATTATGGTTTATTTTCTTACCTTGTCTGTTGGTGTTCCTTTTTTCGTTCTCTGTGTCTCTATTTAAGTTTCTGTTCCAGTCTTTGTTTTCTTCGTATCTTCCTTCTTCGTTTCTTGTCCTAGCCATGGAGCCTAGCTTGTCTATCACGTTTTCCGGTAGTCTGGTTTTCGAGCCTGCCCTTGCCAACTACCATCGCCATCGTCAATTTTTTGAGCGGCGTCCCATTGCCCCTTCTGTCCTAGCCCGTTTGAGGATTTTCATGATTTTGCTCTAGATGTCCATGATTTCATTCACAATCTGGGATGGGGATTTTTACTTGATCAGTCCTCTTCCATGTTTTGCCCCATTCTTGTGCGTCATTTTTACTCAAACCTTCGGTCTGATGGTCTTCATTCCCGTGCTTTCTCTACCTTGTTTCAAGGCCATCTTATTACTGTTCCTGTTGTCGACCTGGGTCGTTTGCTAGATATCCATGATGTTGGTGAGACTATTGCTCACGAGTCTGAGTTGTGGAGAGTCAATTTTAATGTTGCCGAGGAGTTTGTTCGTCTCTCGGGTGTTCATCCTGGTCCAGCCTTGTCTCTCCCTGTCAATATTCTGCTGCCCCGTCTTTGAGCCTTTCATTTTGTTCTCACCAGGGTCTTCCTTCCTCGTTTTCAATCCCTTGACCGAGTTACTCCCTTTGACCTCTACGTTATGAGCCATGTTGTTGCCCATATTCCTCTCAATTTTGCTCACTTGGTGTTTGGCTCAATGATGTCTTTTGGTGATGTCCACTTCCCTGGCCCCCTGCCATTTGGACCTCTCATCACTCGGCTTTTCTCTCGCCTTGAGATTGATCTTTCCTCCTTTCGAACCATCTCTCCTACTCAATATGTGTCTATCGACCAAATGCTGGATGACCTGGAGATTGCGATTGGGGGAGAAGTCTTTCCTGCTGCTGCTGTTATTGAAGTTGACGAGGCAGAGGCAGAACCTGAAGATGAGGAACCAGAGGAGAATGTGGAACCAGAGGAAGACTTGGCCTCTGAAGATTCATTTCCTGCTGATCTGGTGGTTCTTTACAAGACAGATGACGAAGTTTTTGGCTCTGATGATGAAGACCGTTTGTGACTTATCTTGTTGGTCTTGCGAGTGTGTCTCAGACTTGTTGGTTTCTTTTTGATTGCTTTGAGTTGTTTGGGATTGATGTTTGCTACCGTGAACTGATGTGCTCTTATCTTGTTGGATGATTTTGAGTTTGGTCCTTGCAGCTGTTTTTGGTTGAGTTGTGTTTCTAGTTTGAATTTCTTGCCTTGCTTGGAGTTTGTGTGTGTTGTCTCTTGTAGGAAAAGGATCAATCGTCAATCTCTCATTTAGGGGAAGATTGATGAACGAAATAAGAGCCTTGCCAATTGATCTCATTTGGTAAGTTTTCAAGAATCAGATGGCAAAGGAAGGTTTTCTCTTAGAAGCAATCTTGGCGGAAAATCAGCAACGACTAGCTCTCTCCAACGGCTGCCTTGGGTCTGCTATATATTCTGTGTTCTTAAGAGGTTGCTGGGCAAGTTTTATAACAGAGAAAAGTAGAGCGGTAGAGGGCTTATCTTTTGGGTTACAAAGGGTTTCAATAGTTCAGGGGAAGAGGTTCTTAGCTGTTGAGGGTTTCACAGATCGGATTGTGATCTGTGGTGGTGGTTCATTGGTGTTTTCATTTCTTTACTCTGTTTTCGTTTATCTTGCTTGATAGGGAAAATCTTAATAAAAAAGAGTCTCTCGGAAAATAGCAGGTGCTATTTCCGAGACGAGGAGTGACCAATAGTTTGGGAACCTCGTTAAATCGCGTGTTCATCTCGTTTCTTTTCTGGTGCAATTCTTCGTTCTTTGCAGGGTTGAGTTCCTCTGCTTTCTTGGGTTTTCTGCGTTTCCTATCTGTTACAGAAGAAGAAGAGAAGCTTTTGCTCTCTCTCTCTCTCTGTCGTGGGTTTAATTTGTCTGGGCTTGTTTCAAGAAAGCCCACTTCATTTTATTTAGTGACTTTGGGCTTACTTAGTCTTTGGCCCATTATTCCTTTTTCTCGTTGTCAGTCTGAGGAAGAAGCTCCTCCTTATCTGGTCGCTTTTCCCCTTTGCAGTTCATTTCCTTGGTCAAAATCCCTAATTTCAGTTCTGACTCTTTTCTCAGCCTCTGCCGCCCTCACCAACGTTGTCAATCTGCATCAGCCTCGCTTGCATCATCTCCACTATGGGTGAATTGAAGTTCGGTTTTGGAGGCTTCAAATGGGTTATAATTTCAGATCTAGTATATGTCTCGCCTTTTGTTTGGTCAGATTTAGAGTGGTAGTGATTATCAAAGACTAGCAGTGTTTCATCAGACTTAGTAGCGTTTATTAGCTCTAGTTCAGTAGTGTTTTGTAATTTTGGGAATGAAACATTTACTTGGTGTTCTCTAGTTTTATAGGGCAGTGTTTTCAGATCTACAGTGGTAGTGTTTTTTTTCTTGTTTGGGCATTATTTTGGTACTATTCTCCAATTTTTGCAAGACTTAGTAGTGCTTTTTCAGATCTATCAGTAGTGATTCTGCAAGTAGTAGAGTTTTGTAATTTTTGGGAATGAAACTTTTAAGTGGTGTTCTTTATTTTGGTACGTTGTAGCAGTGTTGTTAAAATTTATGGTGGTAGTGTTTTCTATTTCGTTGTGATTCTGCAAATAGTATTCGTAGTGATTCCGCAAATAGTATTACATATTAGTAGTGATCCAAATAAAAATATGGAGAATAAAACCTCCCCAGAATAAAAATACAAACCGTCTAGTAAAGGGATCCCACAAAATCCGGCCTCTATGAAGAATAACAGAAGAATTTAATTCGAAATTTAATATATTTTTGTTGCTATCCCTATTGTACCCTTTCTTTCATTATATTATTTTAGATTAAAATAATAATGGATGGTTTAGATATCAGTTAGGATGGTGCTAACCCCATAGGGAGTTAGCACCCTAGCTTCTCCCGTAAACAATTCATTACTCATATTTTTTTGGGTTGGTCTTGAGACCCATCCACTTAAGCAGTGCCTGAAATATCAAGTGGCATGTAGTATATGCGTTTCGGACTTTGCGTATTGAGTGTTGTTCAGCTATTTTAACTTCCAATATTAAATAAAAACAATATGATGAAATGAGTTGGTGACAATTTCTGAACGATGCGACTTGTCCGGATTTGTCTTCATGGTATTATTCGATTTGTAGTAGTGTGAGGCAGGATACGAATAGTACTTTTGTTTCGTCCCGTTTCGCCCGATCTCCCCATTCTTGACCTATTTTATTTTAATTTGGGTCAATATTTATTTGTATTTCTCTTTTTTTTTTTACTTTTCTTAAATCATATTTTCACTCACTCCTAAAACTTTTAATAACTGAAAGACTCCAATTTTCAACTAATAATTAGACTCAAATATTAAGTCTATTATTTCTCTTTTTCATTGATTCATCGTTTTCCCTTTATTTTCTTGTGAAATAATGAAATTTTTAGCCATTTTTCTTTAAATAACATGTAATATAAAACAGGTCGGCATGTTCCGCCTCAAACCCACACGAATATCACCCAATCCGATTTGCACTTAATATGAGGCGGATAAAGATATAGAGATACCCGGCCCACCTATTGCCATCATCACGACCGACTATAGCAAAGGCACCTTGTCTATCTATACCAGGGGCGGAGCTACACTCAAAGTAGGGTGGGCCCCGGCTCTCCCGGGAAAGGTCCCGACCCCTGGGATCGATTCACCTTAGCTACATTTATTTTGTTTAATTATTTTCGGCCCCAGTCTCGAAACCTGGCTACACCCCTGATCTATACCATCATACAAGAGACTTACCTAGTGATAGCAGCAACTAAGGTTGGTACCACGAAACTAAACTAGTGCAGACGTCGCCGGCCGGCTTCCAATGTACGACTAACCGGGACGTTATCGTGCTTAATTATTGGGATTTCATATGTCTATGTTTCCCAATTTCCTGTTATTTGTTTTTCTATCTAGTTAAGCTTGACTGTTTGACTGGTCTCCGGTCATGATTGAATGGGCTGCAGATTCTTCATTCCTTAGTTAAGGCACAAAACGCCCCATGAATCAAACAAATGCATATAAGAAAGTAGTGATGGTTTCCATGCATATATGGTTCACGATTTGACCCTTTCAAAGTATACTATTGTAAATAAGTTGTTAAATACTATGAAACTCTCCCAACAACTCGAATTATTAGGATAATTTGGTTTCTGATATAGTATTAAAGTTGATTTGTTATTGATGTCACGTTTTCAAGTCCTCACGAACTCAATATTAATCATCATTGTATTAAAGTTCATGTTATAGTTGGGCCTGTACAAAATTCAAGCCAATCAGTTGGCTTTCGTTTAAAGGGGCATGTAAATAAATGATTAAATACCATATATGCATCTCTCTCAACAACTTGAGTTATTTGTACCAATTAGTTTATTGGAGTTAGCGTTAGCTTATTGAGAGGGTAACATCTATAAATAGAAGATTAAGCTTCATTCTTTCTTCACCCAACCAATACACACACCAATAACCAATAGTTTCCCCCAACCCAAGCCATTCCAAAAAAATGGGCACCATTTGGCCTCGCAACTTGATCATGTGCCTTTTGGCTCTACTAGTCGCCAATGTCGCCGGAGATGGTCATCATCACCTTGATGGATACACACCTCCGGCTCCTTATACACACAAATCATGGCCGTCTCCTCCACATGCTTATTATTATAAGTCTCCCCCGCCGCCATCGCCACACTGGTCGGTGCCGTCACCACCACCGCATTCTTCTCACTATGCCGATAAGTTTGACTCTCACGACGACACATACTCGCCTTCTTCTGATCATGCATCTAGCCAGAACCATGGAAAGCCTTCACCGTCTTCTCGAGCCCACAAGCACCCTCACAAGGCTCCTCCACCGCCGCCTCATCATGGCAAGAAGGATCCTTCTCCGGTCAAAAAACCTCATCACAAGTCTCCTCCGCCACCGCCTCATCATGTCAAGAAGGATTCTATGGCGCCGTCGCATCCTGCCCGCAAATCTCCTCCACCACCGCATCATGGCAAGAAGGATCCTCCTCGTACCCACAAACCTCATCGCAAATCTCCACCGCCACCTCACAAACGCAAATCACCACCAACGCATCACTGAAGAATATAATCCACGTCTATGTCACAGTTTATCGACTTCTTCAACGGGTTACTCGTCACTGACTATGGATGACGAGGAAGATCCTGAAGAATAGTATTTTAGAATGAAGAATAATTAAATGTATCGACCAAGTAAGATTGGTATACGTACTAGTAGCTAGTAGTTTACCTTTTGTTGGTTTCTTGCTTTCTGGTTGATTTCTTCGGAATTTCATAGTTAGATCGTAGTCTAGCAGATGATATTTACCATGATTTCAACATTGTACCTTTTTCCCACTTTATTTGAGTTTTGGTTTCCTTAATACAATTACTATCATTACTAGTAGCTTTCTTTTTTATTTATCTTCCTCTTTCTGAATATTATCATGCTATATACGATAATATGGAATTTTGAGGTTGCTTAATGTTGATTGTTGAAGGAGCATGACAAAAAGGAATGATGCAAAAAAAAAACGTATGTAACGAGTCAAATGTAACAGTTAATTCTAACAACAAAGTTGAGTTGGGGGAAAATGAAACCCTAAAGTCTTAGGTGTTTCTCATTCATACTTGGGTTTAAATAGGCAAAAGCTTTGCACTACAAGACAACATGTGCAAGCTAGCATTTGGAGACTACAAAGATAAACATTAACTCAAACTAAAGTCTAAACACACATTGACATTAAACTAAACTTGATGATGATGATTTCCTCTAAACTTTGTCGATCTATACGAGTTTTATTTTGATAATTCATAGGATTGCTAAATTATATATCTCACTCTATATGAAATTTAACATGTAGATTATGTGAGCAAATATGTTTTATTTAATTTTAAAAAGCAATTATGTATCATAGATTTCTTCGAGACTCTGAAATAACATAATTTTCACAATTTAAAACTTATTAACTAAATAATTTGATATCACAAAGTATAACATAAAATTAGTTAATATTGAACACTTAACTATTATTATTATTTTCTTCATCTTGGCATTAATAACATGTATTACATACAAAAACGATATTAACATCAGAAATTTGATCGGCGCCGGAGTTCGAGTTTCTCTTGAGAGCGGATCCAGTGACTAGGGGGGTGCTTAGTCACTTGACTAAGCCCCTCACAGGCCTTAGATCTGGATATAGCAATATGATGGTTAAAAAGTGGGAAGAGCTATTTAATTAATGACAGGGGTAGTTTGGGTATTATGGAAAATTACAAAGTATACAAACCGGACTTACAATCAGTACAAACCATACAAACATACGAACAGTACAAACTAGAGCGACAAAACATACAAACTGATTTACAAACATTACAAACATATGAACTGTACAAAAAATACAAACTAGACCGACAAACAATACAAACCATACAAAAAGAAAAAACAACCAGGTTGACTTTGGAGGCTCCATCGCAATATAGAGGGGCTCCTTCCTAAAGTCAACCCGAGTGTTTTTTAGACATACAAACATGGTGGACAAAAATGACAAACTAGACCAAAAATTCATACAAACTGGAAAAATACCCGGGTTGACTTTGGAGGCTTCATCCCTATATAGAGGGGCTCCTTCCCAAAGTCAACCCG